GCGCAGCCTTCCCATTCGAAACCCATTTCCCGCCACATGCAAGGAAAGATCAAAACGCAGCCAACAAGCTTACACATGTTAAACTGAAAAGTATTAATCATTTATACTGTTAACGATCTGGCTGCTTCAAATTTAATGCAAAAAACACGGTCGCACCGGCAAGCCTGGTGCATAGCAATAAAACCTAGGGAGTGCCCTGGGTTTTGTTGCTATGTTCTCAAAACAGCTAAAACCTTGCTATGTGCTTCTGCTGGATGAGCCGTTGAGCTAGTTTTCCCTTTAGTAGATGATACTGACATTAAACAGCACTGCAACTGAACAAGCAAGAAGCAGAAAGGATAAAGGGCATTATCACTCTCAACACCGTTAATCACTCTGTAATAGCAGTGTTTCAGTCGAAGAATGCCCTGCTTGCAACTTATCGCTGTCAGTCGAGCACAACACGGATCGAAATTCGTATTCGCTCAATTGAAGGCCAGTACGGCAGTCTACTGGCTTACATCTGTCCAAAAATACATCCAAAAATGTGTCAGGTCAAGTGTTATTTGGTAATTCCTTAAACAGGTCTGTCAATATTTCACTTTTCATGGGCTTCTGTGCTACGTTAGTAAGCATTTGTCTACGCTTTTTTGTCTCCAGTTTGCCACAGTTCTTTTAATGCGTTTGAACAGTGAAAACAAGAGGCCAAAAAAGAAACCAAGGTTAGAGAAGTTAGACCTTGGCACCACAGTTAAAAATTTCTGAAATCACCAGGTCCTGAAGTATGATCTTAGAGCTATTTTTGGAGTGGAAAAGTAGGAATATATGCATTTTCAGGTTCGAACATACGAAATTAAGCCACTGTCATTGCATGAACGTGTGCATCAGTTCGATTCATCCAGACCACTGAGCACACTTCGAATCACGGGCAATTTCACGGTGGCTGAGGCACACCAATGGTTGTGCTTTTTGGTATCGGAAGTACCGGATCGTGTGCCACCACAGGATTCCATCACTTTCAATTTTGCTTCAGTTTTCGTGGGCACACAAATGCAAGCCAGTTATAGGTTAGCCATTTGAACGCCGGTTCAATAGTGCAATGCTTGCCCGCACAGGCGATATGCTGTTGCGCCACCTTTTCAACGGTATTTTTCGCTCAGAGTTGCTTTTCTAAATTGTTAGATTCTAAAAGCACTGGGACTGTCAAAAGCATATGAAACAAGTATAATTCCGAGCATGGTTTTCCATCTAAGCCGCTGTCAATTTTCTCAGTTGTTTTGATCAGTGCGCTTCGCCTGCCAGCGATCCTCATCTCTTTCTTTTTCTGAACGGATTTCCAACTCAACCATTCATCCGGCAGAGGCATTTGGCCAGACTTCAGCCGTTTAGAGATGTCGGTTGACGCTAGTTATCACCACAGAGCCTCAAATGTTGTCAGTCCTAGATCACGATAAGTCAGTTTAGGGACTAGGAGCTCATTATGAGCTTGAAAAAGTAGAAATTTGGTCTTACAAGACGAAATGTGGTCTTCCTGGCGGCAGCACGGCATCTCTGTTTGCCTGGGCTTTTTGAGTTGTACATTCGAAATCTGATCTCGCCATTGCATCTTCTTCATTGTGCGAAAAAAAAAAATTCCAGTCGTGGCTCTGCAATTTTTCGCAGCGACAACATTTCGACGATAGCAATAATTC